AATTATTCTGAATGCACCGCCACGTGTATTGAATAAATTACATTATGCCGTTTCAATAATGAAAAGGAAATGGAAATCGGTAAGTAAAAAAACATATTACTAATAAATAGATATATACCTTGCATTATTCCTTTACTAATAATAACTTTTTGAATAATGGAATGTAGTGAACATCGTATTAAAAGGTAGAATCTGGCGTCTCCACAAAAAGAAGAGGAAATAAAAGAATATAATTATCATTTAGAAATTCCAATTTCCAAACCAAAAAGAAGAATAAAATATCATAAGGCGAGTAGAAGGATAGTGAGATCCTAAACAGACTGGTTCCGAGTTGGTTCTAGAATCGATAGTATATTCTGAGCTTGGGAACATTAAAGACTATTCTAACGACTTATTGAACCAAAAATTAATGTGGTTACAGACCGACCGTTACTTTTAATAACGAACGAATCAAGAATATTATTTGATTTACCGTTTTATCTTAGGAGCACGAGATATATTCGAAAGGGAACTGGAAGAATTTTCTTCATCCTCGATAAAAGTTGCTGTTAATTGTTCATTTCTCCTAAAAGAAATTATAAAAAAAGGATTTAAAAGTATATTAGGAACTGGTGATAAGCTAGTATCGTGATGACACAATTATAGATTAATAAATATTAATAGCAATAAAGTATAAAAGGATAAAGGAATAAAATAAGACGAATAGGGTTTCACTCACCTTGTTACTATAGGCGGAATGATGATGTTTATTAACAGATATCAAATTTTGTAATACTATTTCGCATTCAGTGAAAATTATAAGATATCAATATCGTTAAACTAAAAAAAAGAATAAAAGGAGTATAATTATAAAATTTCAAATAATACCTCAATGAATTATTAAAGTTTTAATACCCACTTTTAGTCTTGAAGTTCATATTTTCAAAAAAAGACAATAACGAATATTGTTCAAGGAATTCTGTCTTTGCGTATGTTTCGATACGGATTAAACAAAACTGATTAAACAATTGTTGTGTTCTTTCATATATTCTCTGATATTATTGTCCTATATATGAGAAAAAAAGTCATCTTCAACGGGAGAGTAATCGTTTCTTTAATAAAACAAACAATAATTAATACTAAAACACATATTTCTTACTTTTCTTATTTTTTTTACAAAAAAAAAAAAAGATAATACCAGTTTAAAAATTTTCCAACGAATTATATTTTTTTTCCATATAGTTATGCAATCTTTCAAGTTTTTATGAATAATTCATAAGCAACGATAAGAATATTATACGAACTATTGTCGGAACATTTACTTTTTTTCGTTTGACGCTTATAAAATTTAAAGAAAAAAGTTCAAGTTTTTATGAATAATTAATAAGCAACGATAAGAATATTATCTGAGCTATGTCAGAACATTTTCTTTTTTTTCGTTTGACACTTATAAAAGTTAAGGAAAAAGTTAAGATTTATTGAAAAAAAAAAAAATATTATATGAACTTTCTAAATATAATAGTTTTATCGAAAAAAAAGATAAAAATTCTTTTCCGTAATAGAAATTCTATGAAAAGATTAAGATTAAAAAATTTAATAGCATATCAATTAATAAATTAGGTTAATATGTTAAACCTACTAGTTGGATTTTATATAAAATAATATTAATAACTCTTAATGTTTTGGTAATATAATTATTAATCACTTTCTTCGTGTTGCCTAAATATAGAAAACAATAATGAAAATTAATTTAACAAAATAGGAATTGTGTTAAGTTTCTACTAGTTGAGCTAATTTTATTAACTTTAATCAAAATCCGTAAATCTAAGATGGCGCAATTACGGTAGATCGCATCAAATTCTTTGACAAAGAAATGTCACACAGCATAGATTTTTAAAATGGATTGACAAAAATAGTTTCATATAACACAAACATTTGTAAACAAACCACCCTTATAGTATGAGGTAATAATAATTTAAGTCCATTGTTCTTTAATGTTTTAAAACAAAAAGAAATTTACGCAGCATAAAAATAAAAAAAAACAATAGAATTTTTTTATTTTTATCTTTCTATTCTTGTTATAATTAAATTAAATTTATTATGTTTATTGTTGTTTATTGTGGTTCTCTGGCGAGAATTTCCATTCATTCCAATTTCATTCATTAATTAATTGACAGCATTTTTCATCTTAAAAATAACAATATTTAATTAACAATATTGAAAAAAATTTCGATTTGAAATTTTTGTGATTTTAAAATCATATATAATTGTGATAAATTCACGATTAGTTAAATATAAATCAAACGTTCGAAATGATTGAAATAAATTTTAGCGAATTTAACGGGTTTTTTTCTTCTCTTTCATATGAGATTATAAGTTGCATGATCTCTTTAAGAAAGGTAAATGAGCTGTGCATCTGAATCAATTTCGTAATGGCGATAATGGCAATGATCGATGTCAACCATTTTCGCGTCAATAAAGGAGAAGAATACAAAAAAAAAAAAAAAAAAAAAAAAAAAATTTATTAGGAAATTTCCATCTAATAATGGCATGATTAACATAAGCGCGTTAATTTTTCCAAGATTTATGCTCAAAAAATATATAGTAATAAGAGCATACGTAATATAATAAATAAAGATTACGCATCATACTGTATACAGTATATGCATTATTTTATCTCGTTGATATATCGTTGTAACACCAAATCGATAACATGAATGAATGTTTTAGATTTTGAGATTACAAAATTTCAACTTTGGTGTAAAAAGTTTTGAAAATAGGGACCACTTTCAAAACGCCAAAGAAAACCTGCTTAACTTTTTTATAAATGACTTTCTCATCCCGATAAATATTTATTGGTGTTGTGTATCACTATTTTTGCATAATTTAAATATGTGAACTCTATAAAGCTTTGTGTTTTCGTTGTTTAATTGCATAGAATTTGGTTAAAAAGAGTATTAATTTGGATAACAGAATTCACAAAATTTGCAGCCATACTTTGAAACACCCTCAACTTAAAATTTTAATTAATCAAATTTAGTTAAGTAAATATAAGCTAATCATTATATAATAAGATTATACGATAACGAATGAGATAATAACTAATATAAAACGATGAAAAAAAAAAATGAACAAATATGTTTCCGGTCCTAAAGACTGTGATTCAAGCGACAGCTGTTCGTGATATCGATAGATTTGATGTATTATAAATGGATGATATATAATTTAAGACATAACAATTAATTTCGCGTAAATTTTAATGTCTGATATTGCCTAGTATTGATAATTTCAAATAACTTGTTTCCAACAAGAAATCATATGAAATTATGAATCATATGATATATGATAAAGTGCCACAGATTAACCGGCTGTTTTTACATACAGTAGTACATTATAAATATATAAAGTTGGCCTACGTTCAGTTCGTGGTACCATTGACAACAAAAATTTATATTACACGAATCAGGTTTTATTTATTTCAACTAAAATAAAATTTCCTAGGAATTTGTATAATTCCAATAATCTAATGTTTTGTTCCATCTGTTTATTGATCATCCACATATTTTGGTTTGAAAGAGTAATATAATTATAACTGTATTGTAATCAATATATTAGTTTCTTAGTTTCATAATAAATGTATTGTGATTTTTAAAGTGCGCACAAGATATTAAATGGACTCTTTATCTTTGTCTTTAAGTTTAAAACGAAAAGAAGAGACAATATTTTAATATTTAAGAATTATATTTAATCAATAATATACTTTAATCATTTTATTGCTTAAAATGGACTGAAATTTGCTGTTATTCTTGTTTATTTGTACCATATGACTTTTTTTTTTTTAAAAAAAAAAAAGCCATAAAATCATTGATTGTCAATCGTTAATATAAAATAGTACCAGCTTTTAACAACAATTTTACTTAAAAGAGAACAATTAATGAAATGAGTAAAAATATTTACATCACAATCAATAAATCATGGGCACTTTTATTTATTTTTTTTTAAAAAAAAAAAGAAAAAGAAACAAAGAAATTGCTTGGTTTATTTACCACAAGCATTTCTGGTGTTACAACGTGTTACAATTTTGGCTTATCGTGATATCGTCGTGCAGAATAAATAAATATCTAATAAACTGTATATATGAATAAATGATATGTACAGAATAAAATAAATGTAATTTATAAGTATTTACTGTATTTATTCTCCCAAGTACATTTGATGACGATCAAGACATTTATTTACGATCAATTTGGTTATATCAGATAAGTTTGTATTTTTCTGAATGATAAATAATTCAATAATTGGTCCTTCTTTTTTTTTTTAAATAATAATATTGTTAAAATATCTAAAAGGATACATGCACTGTAGAATGTAAATATCGGCTATCCTATTTTATTTTTTAATGATTAGCATTTTATCCATTTTATCACAATAAAGAACGGTATGATAATTTGGACATAAACAATAATTCGGATTTAGGGGCATATCGGATCTAAATCTCTACATCTGCAAACATAATATATAGGAAAGAATTCATTTTATGTTCTATTCAATTGATCAACTGATTCGTTGTGCATGATAGATGATGTAGTTATAAACAAGTTATTGATAACCCTTTTATGTTGAATTATTTCAAACAACGGATCATTCCGGAAAATTATATCAAAATATGAAGCAAACAATTCTAAATTTCGAATATACAGATGATAACATTTAAATTGAACTACATATTTTCTTACAGTTTTAATATACAATCTAGATCTCATACAAAGTAAGTTCCAAAATATGACTTTTATCCATCATTCACAAAAAATTTTCACATACACAAGCTTTTTAACTTCTATACCTGATTTGAGTTCTATCATGCGCAACCATCTGTGTATTTTATAGTATTACAAATATTGTATGATTGTTTGATTGATATCTGCGAAAGAATTTGTAACTTTATCGGATTATGATATCAGTATAAATAGAACGAGAATAAAATGTTTATATTTTCAAAATATTTAAGTTAATTTTTTAACATGCCACAAATTAACTTTAACAAAGATGTATGTTAATAAAGTAATTTGTATTAAAAAACTCAGATATTAATTTCTTTTTATAATCAATTTTTAAGGTTGATAATATTATTATAAATTATATGACGAAGTTGAAAGGAAGTAATAGAAAAAGCTGTCCGTTTGCAATGTTAAGTAGAAAGATTCCTTACAGTCCCAATCAAATACTTCAGCAGTAAGTTTAATAAACGATTTTTTATTTTATTTTTTTTTAAAAAATAATAATAATAATAATAATAATTTTAATTTAACTACAAAATTTAGTTGGTGTGATAAATTAGACCCTAAGCGTAAGTATATTATGATATTTTTTAATTCTTTTGATAAAAATATCATTGAAATAACTTTTTATCTGCTTTAGTTTGTAAAACTTCTTTCAATTATAACGAGAAAAATTATATAATTAATTGGGTTATGAAGTTTCTCGCTGAAAATGATAAAAACATCTCATGGAAGAAATTACAGTCGGAAATGGTAAACGAATTCGGTATACTACGTTCCAAAAGAGACATGAAAAATTTTTGGTATGCCAGAAAGAGGCGACAAGACAGGCAAAAAGAAAATGTACTTGACCTCCAGCTTCTTGAGGACAGATATTTTTAACTAGTAGCAAATGTAAAAAATTTTTATTAAATAAAATATAAATATTATGAAAATTTATATATTAAATGACATATAAAATATCCATATAATATATATTTAACTGTAAATTACATATTTAACTAATTGCAATTTTATATGAAATATTTATATAAAACTTATTTAACTATAAATTATTCATAAATTTATATTTAAATAATTATATATATATGCTAATTTTATAATTTTATACAGAATAATATTTATAATATTTCTACGATTATATAAAAAATAAATAAATTATTCATGTATTACAGATTTATAAATATTTATATAATAAATTTACATTGGATATATATAGTATTATAGATATAAAGTACAATTCCTGATGACTGATGAATGGAACCGAGCAATAATTATTTATATATCGCATTACAATATAACGTGAATGATGTCACATGGTGAAAATTACATATAACTTAAAATAGTTACTTTTCTACAAGGCCACGCAAACTAATATTTTCGGTTCACGTAACATTAAAATTTAAAATTGACCCGGGGACCCGGGTTTTATTTTTTATTAATAAAAAATTTTTATTGTAAGTCACGTGACTTACTAGTTTATAATTAGATGAATTTCGTTACTATAAATGCCTATCATACATTGTTCACGTGGATTTTAAAAATAAATAAAAAATGCCTATCATACATTCATACATGTACGAATAAGTTACAACTCTGTAACTTTAAAAGATTGGGAAGGTTTACCAGTTGAAAAAGAGACAAAAATGAAGGATTTTTCTAATGATATATCAATTTCATGTTTGTCATCTAATTTCTGGGAAGCAGATTTTAAAGTACTATTCATAATAATTAAGATTTAACCAATAAAATCACTTGAAATCACGTGAAAAAAAATTTTACATATAAAAATTTTTTGGTCAAATTTTGAAAAAGTGACCCGGCCGGGTGAAGTGAACCGAAAATATTAGTTTGCGTGGCCCAAGTACTAGTAGCATTTAAAATTCATTTAATTTATGAAATTTTTGAAATTTTTATAAATAGTGTGTCATTATATATAAAATTTGTTACAATGTGAGTCATCTTGTATATGCTGTTTATACACTTTACTTCGTTAAACGGTATACGGTATAGTAGTACCACAATGAAAATCCGTAATACTAAATAATTCGTTATATCGAAATTCATTATAACGCGAGCCGATTGTATTTTTCGATTCAAAAATTTGTTAAATTTTTTTTTTCTTAGTTGCAAGTAAATTTTAGTTACATATAAATAAAATATTTATTATAAAACATAAATCAGACATGTTTCTACTAATGTGGCTGTTCTTGTAAACTGAATATATTGTATAGTACATATATATTAAGGAAATAAGTGAAATTATCAATGCTACTTATAAGTTTTGCGGCAAATAATAAAAAAAAAATAATTAACTGGTAGGGTCACAATTATGGTCAGATTACATGGAAATATATTAATATATATCGGTAACGACTAGTGCTCTGCACGAGCCGTGCCAGCTCGTGCCAGCTCGCGAGCCAGGTATATTGAGCCGAGCTTCAATGCAGCTCGTTAGAGCTGGCTCACGAGCTACTATGAGCCAGCTCGCAAGCTCTGAAACTAAGCAAAAATGATACTTGCGCATGTGATTATCAGCTAACCATTTCGCAAATTCTCTAAAAAATCATCCGGTTCGAGCAGGTAGGCTCGAGCAAAGTTACTTTAAGGCTCGACTCAGCTCGGCTTGGAGTTGGCTTGATACGAGCCAAGCTCGGCCATTATAATCGAGCTAAGTCGAATTTTGGCTCGGCTCATGCGGAGCTTTACAGTCATGATTGTGCATAATAAAAATATAAGAACCAATACCTATGGTTAATCTTGGTAATTTTGGGCAATTAAGTCGACCTTAAAAGTATTTATTGCTGTAATTAAAACTCAACAATAGAACGTACTAATGATAGATGATGTAGCTCGCTCAAGCTGTGAATTAATTTATATAATAAACTTTAAAATGTAATTTAGCAATCAGAGTAATCATTATTTATTGGAGGGGATTTGGTGAAGGAATCTTTTAATAAAAAATAAATTAGTATAATTAAAAATCTTATAAAAAAGGAAATAAAGCTAGCACTGATGAACGTCAGGAAATTTTTTAGGCGACGGGAGTGTAAACTTACGTAAATATGTGTAAATATACATAACCTTGTGTAAATTTTTGTAATTTTCTTATGAAAATTTACGTGAACTTGACGCACATCTGAAGTTTTACGTGGTCATGTTCTTTTTTTATTTTTTTATTTTTTCGTTTTAGGTGAATATTCCTTTTTCTTTATTTTATTAGAAACAGCCTTTTGAACTTTAATGGGCGAAATAGAGGTCGTTAAAAAACAAAGAAAAAATAACATTAGAAATGTTTCTAAAACAAAAATAAAATGTAAAAAAATAAAGAAAATACCTCCATTTCACCCGATTTCAAAGTTTAAGAGGCTGTTCCTAAAAAAAATGACATGATGTTAGTAACGTTCATTGGTAACGTTCCTAAAACAAAAATAAAATGTAAAAAATAAAAAAGAAATAACTTTAAAATGGATTTAGTTTATACTGTAATCCCCTGTCGCACTAAGTGTCACTCATGATCACCTTCATACTAATTTTTAAAATTGCGAGTGATTAGCTGAGTTTATAAATGACCAGGAATCTTCGTTTAGTTATTTCCCGGTCTCATATAGATAGCCGGGAAATTACTAATTTTAGTTTAAAATAGTTAAAATACTTAATATTTAATGAGTAACACGCTCCAGGGGATTACCCATTTATTTCCAACTCCCCATGAAATAAATACCGTATTTTGCGGTATATAAGCACCCCTTTTTGCACTTGATGCCGGCCAAGATCCTCATAATTTTGGCCAAAATCGCCATAATTCTGGCCAGGGGTGCTTACTTTCGGGGGTGCTTACTTACCGCAAAATACGGTAATACTAATATCTGGTGATCAAAACAATAATTTATTTTATTAGGGCTTTAGGGGCTTTGCAGTGATGGGCTTGCATATCCAATTTGGAAATATGTTTTTCCATGTGAACACGTTCAATGTTTAAAACGTTCGAAATGATCGAAAATTTTCAATATATATATTAACGCTGGATGATCTAATGACAGTTTTTTCGAGCGATTGTTAATAGAAGAATAATGGTTATCCTTAATCAAATGAGTCTTATCAAAATTTTATTATAAAGAACGAACGCTTCTTATTATTTAAAAACTTTAGTGATCGTCTATCGATGTGTCATAATAGATTGCCGACTGATTTATCAATCTATTGATTTTGATGTGGAGTAGTTGTGGAATATTTCCTTTATACTTTCATAATATTTGTTATATCAATAAAATTTAATCAGTAATCATTTATTGAAATTTTTCACACAAAATAAGCCTTTTTTACGGCTTTTTTACGGATAAGGGAAATAACTGGTGTAATACTCGTTTGTACAGCGTTTGTACCCGATCAAAGTATTACAGTAATTAATGACTTGGTAATTAAAAAAAATTATTATTGTCTCTAATTTTGGCAATTACATATATTTACAGTACGAAAGTACATGTTCAAATATTTTTAATTATTGAAAGAAACGTTCAAATTGTTTGTAAAAATATTTGAAGGAGCAATATACACTATTTATCGAAAGTTATAATGTAAGTATTCTTGAAATTTGTTATATTTATTTTCGGTACAAAAAAAAGAGAATTAAAGGAAAAAATATTTATGGCAAATAGATTGATAAAAATTCTGACTATGGATACAAATCGGGACACTGACTCTTTTACTCATGGGTACGTATTAAAACGTAACATCCGACCAATAAACCCTTTTTTTTGTGTCATTATCAAGTACTTGACGAATCCTATTTATTTCAAAAGTACTGTAAAACTATAGTATGAAAAAAAATGTATCTATCGTATAATTAATTTTACAAATTTTATGTTATGAAATCTCTATAGAAGATGCGGTAATTGTTTTTTATAATCGGTTCCGATACCGGGAAATTTTGCCACATTTAACAAGAAATAAAGCTACCGACAGTTACAAAATTGCAATGTTTCTTTCGTGATTAATAAATTTTAATTAAAAATATTATAATAAGTTTTATATTTTTAAAAAGAAAATAAAAAAGAAAGTATAAATAAGTAAACCCAAAATTTGTGTATAAAACATAAATAAAAAAAACGGTGGCTTAGTTGTGCCGTTGTGCCACTGATTTGGCTTCCTGATGGGGCTTGTAGGCAATTCAAAAAAATCACAATCATAGCCGATCAGCGGCTCATAGCCACGTTATTCTTTTTATTATGAATTATCTAAAAAACATACTGTATATATTACACAATCAAATAAAATTGCACATCACAAAGTTACATCAAAGCCAATGGGCTGAAAAAAAAATTTTTTTTGGATTGTAATTTAATTTAACGAAAAAAAAAAATTCATAATTAATTAATGTAAGAAGTTTCTGTCATTTTTTTTTAAATAAAAAAAATTTTTTTTCATTTGATATTTAATAAAAAGATCTAAATTTTTTTTTTATTTCAGTTTTTTTTTCGATAATTTCTATAATAAATAAAGGAGGTTAATCGATCTTTATTTGTTATTTCAGCCACATCATCTGCGTAACATCCGTTTTTAAAGGAGCTTGCAATTTAACATGGGGAAAAAAATCGATTTTTATTTGTTATTTCAGCCACATCAACTGCGTAACATCCGTTTTTATTTTGTGTTTTGATGATCGTTTACCTGTTTATTATTATGATTATAAAATATTTTTTATTATTTATTAATTAGTGCCTGTTCAAATATAAAAGAAACCTGAGATCAGGGTATTGAAGAATACCAACGAATTATTTGTTCATTTACTATATTGAATTTCTTATATTGACAAACAATAAAATTTTGAACAAAAATTCCTATCAAAAATTACTTCTTTAAAATAATGAATAAAAAAAACCCGAGAATTTCCTCTCGTACAGGAATTAAACCTCCTAGCGATTGGAAAACCTTTTTTGAAATAGGATTCAAAGTTAGTAATATTCACACTGAAGTTACTGTAGGTGAAATAAAGGGGGTTTTTGCTACTTATGGTAGTGTTTATAGAGCAAAAATTGTGACCAGAGAAGTTGATGACTCTGAAAATCCTGAACGTTCAACTGGAACTGCTTATATCTTATTCAAGTACGTATTTTTATACATTTATTCTTTTTCAACCCTTTAAATTATCATTTACTTATCCCTTTAAAAATATTTATTTAATTAGACCTGTACCCCCTCGTCCTTTCTGGAATGAATCGTTACGCCTTCATGGAAGGGTTTTACGGATTGATTACCGTAATGACTTTCGTAGTTCTGATTCTTTTTATTCCTATCCTGCTGAAAGTTTAGAATTGGGTGATTATATACTACCTAATATATTTGTATCTGAGGCTAAATTTACTCAATCGGTAAAATTTTTTATAAGTTATCAAAATCGAAAAATAATTGTGGAATTGAAATATGGAGAGCCGATGTACACCTTTAAGCTTGAATTCAATTTTGATGATATAATTAATGATATTTATTCTGAGCTTGACGTTTCTCAACAAAGATCTCATGGTTCAATTACTATAGAAAATAAATATCCCGCAAAATGTTGGGTATTACATAAGTGTCAAAAACCAAAAGATAAATTTAATTGGTGTATTGATAATTTTTGGAACCGTATTACAAAAAATGATAAAATGCCTCATTTTCATAAAGATAATGATCAACCTGGTAAATGGCTCGTCTTTAGAATAACTTTTGATTTGGATCAAATTGGAGGTCTTAATCGTTTTAAAAAATTAATTAAGAAGGCCGGTAAATATAATTTGGTTCCTAGAACTTCAAGCATTAGTAATTTTCCATTAAAAATTATTAATGGAACTGAATTATGTAAACATTTTGTGAACCGTAAAATGTTAAACTTTAAAGTTAATTATATGCTCGAATGTAATATTTCTTTTAATTACCTTAATGAATATAACCTTTGTAAAGAATTCTATTCTTTATTATCTCAACAACCTACTAAAGTCTCTCTTAATATTTTGGAAGGTATTCATTCAAAGAAGAAAAGGATCTATAAACCTTTACCATATTTACGTTCAGAATTGGAGAAGTTAAAATATAAATTGGTTAATGAATCTACATATATACCATATTATTGTGTTATGGTGCGTAAAGTTATTGTAACTCCCACTACAAGTTATATTTTAACTCCAACCATGGAAACTTCTAATAGGGTGATCCGTCATTTTCTTGATAAGAAAGATCATTTTTTACGTGTCAAATTTGTAGATGAGGCTTTGAGTAAAGTTAGTTGTTCACCTAATGGTGTTACTAATGATACTCCTAACCTTGCTTTATATAATAGAGTTTATTATACTTTATGTCATGGTATCACTATTGGTGGTAGGAAATACGAATTCTTGGCTTTCTCTGAGAGTCAATTAAGAGATCATAGTTGTTGGTTTTTTTCATCAATTGGTGATTTAACTGCTGATAAGGTTAGAACAGAGATGGGGATTTTTTCAACAAATAAAAGTGTAGCAAAATATATTGCTCAAATGGATCAGTGTTTTTCGAGTACTCGTAATATTCAAATGGATCAAATGGATCGGTGTTTTTCGAGTACTCGTAATATTAAAAAGCCACCTATTGTTAAAATTAAAGAAATTCCTGATATAGTTAGAAATGGTTTCACTTTTTCAGATGGGGTAGGGAATATCTCTTTTTCATTAGCAAAGAAGATTGCTTATGATTTCAAATTAAAAACTATTCCAAGTGCAATTCAATTTAGAATGGCTGGGTATAAGGGTGTTTTATGTCAGTCAAATAATGTGAAAGATAATGAAGTTCAAGTTCGTCCTAGTCAACATAAATTTGAATCACATCATAATGACTTGGAAGTTATCAGAGGCTCTACGTTCATCTCAGCATATCTCAATCATCAGGCAATTACATTCTTGTCCGCATTAGGAATTCCTGATAAAGTATTTATTGAATTAAAAGATTTACAAGTTAGGGAATTGGATAAAATGCTTGAAAATGAACATACGGCGTTGAATATTTTACAAAGGAATGTCGATGAATATGGAATTTCAATCTCACTTGCTGAACTTGTCAAAGCGGGATTTTTAAGAAATAAAGATCGTTATTTGATGAATTTGATTTCATTATTTCGTACCAAGATGTTAAGAGACATTAAGAAAAAGGCAAAAATTCGCGTTGATAAAGGGGCATTCTTATTAGGCGTCTTGGATGTTACCGAAACTTTACAAGAGAATCAAATTTATTGTTGTGTATCTGATCCATGTAACCCATCCAGTAGAAAGATAATAACTGGAAGGTGTATTGTATTTCGAAATCCTTGCTTTCACCCAGGAGATATACGTATAGTTACAGCTGTAGAATGTAAGGCTTTAAGTCATTTAGTAGATGTAGTAGTATTTCCAGCAGTTGGATATCGTGATATTCCTAGCGGTGGTGATTTGGATGGTGATGATTTCACGTATGTATCTTTATTTCTCATTGTTTAAGTATTTAAGTTGTTTAAGTTATTGACAATTTTTTTTTTTTTTTAAAAAAAAATAATAATAATAATTTTTAATTTAGTGTAATATATGATGAACGTTTGATTCCTCCCAAAATGTGCGAGCCTATGGATTATCAGCAGGCTCAAATACCAAGAATAGTTGACATCGAGGATATAAAGAAATTTTTCGCGAATTATATCTTTTCTAACAAAATTGATATGATCGCGAAAAATTATTTATCGATAGCAGATTCCTTCAAGGTTGGTGCATTACACGGGCAATGTAGACGTATTGCCCAAATATATTCTAATGCCGTGAATTTTCCGGACGCACCACCAGTATTTCCATCTGAACTTCGTGCTATCGATTTCCCAGATTTTATGGAAGAATCTGGTGAAGAATCCTATAAATCTCGAAAAGTTCTTGGTATCTTATATCGTTCTATTAATGTATCAGAAGAGTATACCCCACAAACCAATTTAAATGTTGATCAAAGATTATATGAGGGGTTTTTAGATTATGTACGGAAGTTACTAAAACGAGAGTACGATGCAAGCATTTATTATTTTTCTGAAACATTCCCTTGGATTGCGAATGATATTTTATGTGACATTGCCGATAGAAATGAAAGTAATCGAAGAGCACTAATGGATTTATTGGGACCTTGTGACACTAACTTGAATATTTTTTCAAACGGCAATCAGAATCAAAATTATAATGATGATCAAGATTTAATTGAATTATGATGAGCTGATGGCCGGAGGGGTATTAATTTAGTTATGTATTTTGGGAATTTTTTTTATTTTTTAAATATTTTAGATTTTTAAAATAAATTTTATAATTTTTCAAAAAAATTTCTTAATTTTTTAAATATTTTATATCTTAAGTTCGCGATCATAATTAAACTCTGTTCAATAATGCCGGCCTCAAATTTTTGTCGGAGTTTGACGCTAACGTAAGGGTAGGTGATAATGGTTACAGTACGATTTCCTGAATGCCTTTTTCCTGAATATATCTTTTCCCGAAGTCATTTGCCTGAATGCCAATTTTCTGAACTGAACATTTGCCTGAAATATACAATTTCCCGAATCCTTATTTCCCGAATCCCTCCCAATATCCTGAATCCCAATATCCCGAATTCAAATATCCTTAATTCTAATATTCCGAATTCTAATATTCCGAATGGATAATTTCTTGAATTATATAATAAATTGTATATTTTCGTATGATTTATAAATAAACTATATAATAAATTTAAAAATAAAGAACTATTGATAACTATAAGTTTTATTATTCAAATATACAGTATTTATAAGCAGATATAATGTTAACAATTGTAAAAATTTTTTAAAGTACTGATTATTAAAAACTGTTAAAATTCGATTTTCACGATCTATTAGATGCTTGCGTTGTATGGTAAAGGTTCTCCACGAAGAATACTTTCTGCTAGCAAATAAGTTTGATATTGCTCTTTGCGCACCTCTGCTATAATTGTATAAACGCCAACATGTTATATATAATTTGGGGAGTGGCTTTTTCAAGCATCCCTTGCCTGTACAAGTATTACGATCAATTGAAGTAAATATGAAGTAAACATAAGGCAATATACAATCAATTAGGAAATATTACATTTTTAGCTAATAAAATTTTTCTCCAACCCACTGAGTTTAAGTGCTTGATAATATTTACCTAAACATCAAGTAAATATAATTAATTTACATTTTAGGAGAAAAAGATTGGTGCAGGTACAAATTTCAAACAGATACTTTGATTGAATAATAAAATCTGCTCGTTTTTGCATTATTTATTTTAAGTATTTGTTTTAATATAAGTTAGTTTATTACATATTATATTTATATACATTATATATAATTTATTGATTAGTATACTAAATAAAATAAAGGTTGAGTTTATGAAATTAATAATTCTAATTTATGATGTAAAATTATACAAAATAATATTAAATTCAGTAAAATGTCCATTCAGAATAGGGTTCATGATATTGGAATTTGGGATAAAATAATTCAGGATAAAATAATTCAGGATAAAAGAATTCGGGAAATTGGATGTTTCATATAATTCCAGAAATTGAGATTCAGGAAATTGGCATTCGGTAAAATGGAGTTTCAGGAAATGATCAATTTCTGGAAATAGGCATTCAGAAAATTGGATTCGGGAAAAGGTATATTCAGGAAAATGGTATTCAGAAAATGGTCCGACAAGGGGTGATAATAACTATACGTAGGGTTTTACACTAAATCTCCGACTTTTCCATAGGTAAAAAATCCTCAGGTCATAATGCAAATCAAACTTTAAAACATAACATGATGCAACATATAATTCTAATACAGATAATATGACGGTAATTAATCACCTAGCTGAGTTTATATGATTTAGCAAAAATACTCTTTTTAAAAATAATTGAAAATTTTACGATATTTGTTCATCCTTTTCATTTATCCATTTCTTTAATTTGAAATATTTGTATTAGTACATTATATTATAACTATCAAATCAAAGTTTTCCTCGTAAAGAAAATATAATTACCTATAAAAAATTCATACAATTCAAATGAGCATTCCAGGTTAGTTTTTCCAACTCCATCACATTGATACAATAAAATATATTCTTTTAAAAAATTTCTTAATTTATAAAAGAAAATTACATTCATGATTCAATATTACAGTCAAATTTTAATCATAGAAGTATTCGTGATGATCTTTACTATGTAAAGAATTGGTACGATCAACAAGCTGTGGAGAACTGCGGCTAGGGATGGAGATGACTCTATCGGTTCGGTTTCGGTTCTACGAACCAGAACGAGTCGTGACGAGTCGAATTGATGGAACTGACTCCAAAAATCGGTTTGGAACGGAGTTTGGAACCGAACCGACCAAAACCGGTTCTGATACGGTTTTTATAATATAATTCTTCTTATTATTATTTAATTTAAAACAAATTAGTTCAAAAAAAACGATATTTAAGATAATAAATTTTATTAAATGTTATCTTTATTATTATTAAATGTTCAATAATATGATTTAATTATCCGTTAAAGTAAATTACTTGAAATTTTTATTAAAAGGTCTTTAGAATAAATTTATTAATGTTCGCTATTTAACATGATTATTATCAGTTATTCGCTATTTATACTAATATCATTATTAAGTTTTATTTTACTGTTCAATCATTTACGGTTATAGAATAAAATTTTTATGATTAAAGAACTTTACCATACCCTTATCTATTCAACTTTTCGCACATGAACTTTCCTCGCCGTTTCTGATAATAAGTCTTTGTAATCCCATTTCCGGCGATCGAAAGCGCTTGCTCTGATGCGACGCTCCGTCGTTGCTTGTATTTTTAGATAGTCTCGGAGCCATCTTACTTAAAACTGAAAACGAGCTTGCCATCACAAAAGAGGTTCAGCCTCTTCATCAACTGGTTGTTTGAGATAATGACTTAACTCCGTTTCTATTTCCGTTTCTATATTGACAAGTATACGGTTACATTTTAAATTTTATTGTTTGGTAAAATAAGACGAACAAAACCGGTTTCAAACTGACTTTCAGAGTCGACTCTCATAGAACCGTTCGTTCCGCTCAAAATGGTTCTGACATTCGGTTCCCGACTCAAGTCACTCTCCATTTGGAACTTTTTCCATCCCTAACTGCGGCACAGCAACTTCACATTTTCCAAATTATTCCATTTTTGAATTTGAAAAGAATGATCATTTTTTCCAACAAACGCTTTGATATATTAATTCATGAAGGAAATTTTTTGAAAAACTTAAATTTAAAGGAATATATATTTTTTTTACAATCTATTTTTAAAAATGGTTTTCTTAAATTTTATAATTCAAATACTATGTAAGTTCTTATATATATTTGAGCCATGCTACCCGATATTAAGTTACTAAATTAAGCCAATTTACTCTATATCAATTCTTATTTTATTTTTATTTTTATTTTTATTTTTTTTTAAATGTAGACAAACAATTTCTTTTATCAATAACTAGTTAAGTTATCGCGTCCCCTCAGTCATGTGATACTACTAATTTTACATGTGATTGGTTCGGAATACAGTATACTGTACATACCATTTTAATCCACAATTAAGCAGAGATTACATTTATCCAACGAAGTGTTTAACCTTCATTATTCAAATGTAGCCAATCTATTCGTGATAGTGTTACGCAGTAAAATGTTGCGCAGCAATCATGTGATATAACTGGACCCGTGATGCCGATCAATGTAGCAAATGTCGAATATGTTTGACATGTTCGATATGTTGCATATGTCCGATATGTAGAATATATAGAATATATGGAACATGTAGCATATATGAGATATATAGAACATGTAGCATATATGGGATATATAGAACATATGGAATATATAGAACATATAGCATATATAGGATATATAGCATATGTAGCATATGTTAAACATTTTTAGTTTGGAAATTTATGTATATATAGACCTCTAATTAGACCTGTAATTAAAGAATTCAATATAAGAACGTGTGTGAAGAATTTAATTAATAAAATGTTTACCCTTTAGTATACACCTTAATTTTAAGTTTGGTTTTATATGGTTAATCTGCCTTCCCTTATTTGTGTCTGATTGTATGCGCCAGTGTGAAGCGATACTCTATTCACATCTGATTGGATTGATTTTAACATATACGTTGATCCTTAAAATTACCTTCTGCTTTATTAAATATAAACATTTTTTAATGTATAGCTTAGTATTTTTAAGCTTATAAGAACTGACCTCTAACAATAGGTCTGATAGCAGCGCTGTTCTTGAGTTCGTATTATTATTAAGAAAAACAATTCTTTTGGAAAATATCAGATGATAATGATTTTTTTTTAGAAAGGATGCAACACTTCTTGATTTTATGGTTCACACTTGGATCATTAATTTTAACTAACGGAAACAACAATACATTACTTCTCTTTCATTAGCGATCGTTGTTTCATTTTCTGATAAAATAAAGTTCACAGACTAAACGTTACGATGCATATGCACCGTATAAAAAATTTTATATAATGTTATCCATATAATTGAAATGATATATCAAAAAGGATAAACTTTCATCATATATATCTACTAGTAAGTAGTAAAGGTACCGATTCTAATTGTTCCATTTATATACTATGAATAAACAGCTTTAAAAAAAGTGAAAATCTTTAAAGTGTGTAGCAAACTTTGAAAATCGAATTAATAAATTAATAAAATCAAATTTAGTAAAACTAATATTATCGGTTTGATGGGACCATTCATGCAATTTTTATAATAAACTTCCGTTATTACCCAATAATTTTATTATTATGCTAATACATAGTAATATGAGATAATCGACCTATATAACAATTATGTAAAATCTGCATGAACTTATGAGGATAACTGATAATATAGTATATTACTTTCTTTTTTTGTATTGTCATTTATTTCTCCCTTGAATTGTATATTTTGTGATTAAAATAAATTGATTAATTTTTATACGTTTGCCATCAAATATTAAATACATTCATCGTAACAATTCCTCTACCATCATAGTACCCTCCTAGTATAACGTGGCGGTGGCGTGGGTACTGGTGATATATTTATACAAACAAAAAATTTCGACTCTTGATATACAAAAAAGAAAATTTTTTTATTTATGATCCAAATGGAGTAGAAATCCTAAACAGATTGGGTATTTTAAACTCATGGTAAAAAATAACATGATTTACTTTTAAAAGAATTGTAGGACAATGCGCAGGAAATACAAAATAGGAAAACATATCAAGTTTTTTATGAGTGATGCAAGGTGCATAAATTCGAATGAGAAAATATTTTTTTGTTATTTTAA